GGGATGCCTGGGTGGTTCAGCGAGTTGAGCGTCCAACTTAAGCTCAGGTCACGATCTCCCGGTTCGTGGGTTCAAGCCCCACGTCGGGCTCTGCACTGACAGCACAGAGTCCGCTTGGGAGTTTCTGTTTCCCTCTCTCTCTCTCTGCCCCTCCCCGACTTGTTCTCTCTCTCTCTCTCTCTCTCTCTCCCTCTTTCTCTCTCTCAAAAATTAATACTAAAAAAAGTATAGTTGACACAGTGTTGCATTAGTTTCAGGTGTACAACAGGGTTATTTCACAAGTCGATCCATTATGCTAGGGTCGTCACAAGTGTTGCTACCATCTGTCACCATACAGGGCTATTGTAGTATCATTGACTATAGTCCCTGTGCTTGCTTTGCCTTTCATGCCCAGACTTATCCATTCCATAACTGGAAGCCTGTATCTCCCACGCTCCTTCACTCATTTTCCTCATCCCCTCATTCCCATCCCCTCTGGCAACTATTAGTGTATTCTCTGTATTTATGGGACTGTTTCAAAGCAAACTCATTTTAAAAAAATATTTGTTTTTGAGAGAGAGAGAGAGGAGGAGGAGGGACAGAGACGGGGTGGGGGGAGAGGACCCAAAGGGGGCTCTGCACTGACAACAGGAGCCTGATGCAAGGCTCAAACTCAGGAACCACGAAATTATGACCTGAGCCGGATGCTCAGCCAACGAAGCCATCCAGGCACCGCAAACAAACTCCTTATTAAATTTTTTTTAATGTTTATGTATTTTTGACAGAGAGAGAGAGAAAGAGAGAGAAGGAGAGAAAGGCAGAGCCCAAGGGGGGAAAGGGCAGAGAGCGAGGGAGGCACAGAATACGCAGCGGGCTCCAGGCTCCGAGCAGTCAGCACAGAGTTCAACATGGGGCTTGAACTCGTGAACGGCAAGATCATGACTTGAGCCGAAGTTGGATGCTTAACCGGCTGAGCCACTCAGGTGCCCCCAAATTCATTTTTAATATTGGTAATTGGTCACTAGGAAATAGAGTCATACTTCAAATGGTAAAATTGCTACTTTAATGGTACTACATTAGGGCTTATTAACATAAATTTCTCTTACAGAATATCTTGAAACTATGAAGAAACAAAGAAGAAAACAAATGTTATCTATACTCCTATTACTCAGGGAAAACCATTGTCTTCACCTTTGTAGTTTTCTCTCTTTAAGATATAGAAACACAAAATGTGTGTATTTCTATTTAACATTTAACAGGATAAAATTTTACTGCATATATATTTTACCTGGCTTAACAATAATACTTTGCACATTCCCCCATATACCTAAACATTCTTTTTTATTATTATTTTTCATTGTTGTCATATTATTTCATCATGTAGTAGAATCATATTTACTTAACTAAATCTTTAATTCTGGACCATTAAGTGGTTTCTAATTTATCGTTATTAAAAATAGCTCTTTGATAAACATTTTGTGGTTATACCTTGAACACCAGAGATTATTCCTTTAAAGTCTTCTCTCTTCCCCCCCAAAACGGTCACATCAAAAGAAACATGGAATCTTTTTAGGGTTTTTGATAAGTGTTTTAAAAACTGCATTCCAAAGGTTAAACTATACCAATGTGTATGATCATCAGCAATCTTTCCGATCATATATATTCCAACATTTTCTCTAGAATTTTATTAGCATAGATTTTCATGTGTTAAAATCTAGTCAAATTTATGAAAACTGAGAGCAAGCTTAGAAAGATCATTTCTATATTAGAATTATAAAAATGTTGAATCAGTTCAATACTGACTATTGAATCCAGCATTTCAATGGCATTCTATCATTTTTAAAGTAGTTGTCATTTTATTGAGTCCCTGTATTTATGTGAAATAAACAGGTGAACTGTTATTCCTCTTTACAGAGGAGGGAATTGAAATGGTGTTGCAAACGCCAAATAAAACACAGATAATTGGTAGGTACCTTCAGCACGCATTAACATAATTATCCAAGGTGAATATAGCCTGCAAATTCAACATTTTAAAAATTACGTAAAAGCTTGAACACGGGAGCAAATCGAGTATATATATCAGCTCAGGTCATGACCTCGCGGTCCTTGAGTTCAAGCCCCAAGTTGGGGTCTGTGTTGACAGCTCGGAGCCTGGAGCCCGCTTCAGATTCTGTGTCTCCCTCTCTCTCTGCCCCTCCCCTGCTCGTGCTCTGTCTCTCTCTGTCTCAAAAATAAATAAATAAATAAATAAATAAATAAATAAATAAATAAATATTAAAAATTAAAAAAAAATGCTATAGAAATAAACATATTATGTAGAAATGCTGCTCTATGTCAATACTGGACCTTTAATGACATAGGGTTCCCGTTTATAACAATCATCATTCAAAGTTAATACATCCTGGGGGTTCACTTTGAGGCAGGGACTCTTCTAAGTTCGTTTCCATGTATTAACTAATTTAATTTCTACCCAATTGTAAGTAAGTTTCTGACTAGTGCTAACTAAAACAGCTGGACAACTGGTGACGGTGCAGGGCGGAGGCGAAACAGTCAATACTTGTCCTGTGCTTTGGCCTTTAGCTACACTTTCCGCCAACACATTTCATAACACGTAAATCACAAGACATTGTTTTCTTTTCTTTTTCTTTTTTTAACTTTTTTTTTTAACTTAACTTTTTTTTTTTTTTTTTTTTTTTAAAAAAAGAGAGACAGAGCATGAACGGGGGAGGGGCAGAGAGAGAGGGAGACACAGAATCGGAAGCAGGCTCCAGGCTCTGAGCCATCAGCCCAGAGCCCGACGCGGGGCTCGAACTCACGAACCGTGAGATTGTGACCTGGCTGAAGTCCGACGATTAACCGACTCAACCACCCAGGCGCCCCAAGACATTGTTTTCCAAGGTGACTCAAGAGTGCTTTGTTATTATTAACCATAGGATATTAGAGTTTGAAAGCCATTTGTTTTATTTTGCAGCTGTGGGAACTGAAGGACACTGAAATTAAGGAACCTCTATTTTTTTTTTTTATCACCATAGGCAGTGTCTGGAACCCACATTTCTTTTCAATATGGCGTTCTAGTGATAACAGTTTAGAGATATCAGAATGGCATCCAGAGAAGCCTTCAGAGAAGAACAAGATGAAATACATTGCAGCTTTCGGAGAAGCATATTGTGAAACGCATTCATCAAACAATTTTGAAGGTAACAGAATTTTTTCCTGACTCGAGTTATCTCGTAGAGATTAACATAGCGCCTTGTTTCTACTTTATGGATTATTTTGTGTAAATGACTAAACTACAGAGCATCAGTTATGAGGGCCAATTATACTTTTATTGGAGAGAAGATGAGCTTTATTTATTTAAAAAAATTTTTTTAATGTTTATTTTTGAGAGAGAGAGAGAGAGAGAGAGAGAGAGAGACAGAGCATGAACAGAGGAGGGGCAGAGAGAGAGAGAGAGGGAGACACAGAATCAGAAGCAGGCTCCAGGCTCTGAGCTGTCAGCACGGGGCCTGAGAGAAGATGAGCTTTATAAATAGGCCCTTGCAAAATAACTCTAGATGTCTCCTAATTTCTCTATGTCTCTTTAGTATGAGGGTGATGAATAATAACAGAAAAGGAAGAAAATAACAGAGTCAAAAATTTAAATGACCTACATTCCTCTCAAGTCAATTTGAATGTTCACTGCACATCTGCTCTACAGAAAAATACATAGAGCCCTTTTGGAAGCACATATGAAAACAATTCAAAAAGTACGAACTGGGGACGCGTGGGTGGCTTAGTCGGTTGAGCATCTGACTCCGGCTCAGGTCATGATCTCGCGCTCTGTGAGTTCGAGCCCACGGTCGGGCTCTGTACTGACAGCTCAGAGCCTGGAGCCTGCTTCGGATTCTGTGTCTCCCTCTCTCTCTACCCGTCCCCGGCTCACGCTCTGTCTCTCTCTGTCTTAAAAATAAATGTTAAAAAAAAATTCCAAAAACCAAAAGTACAAACTGTGCTATAAAGCTAAGTTTTTACTGTAGGTAAGTTTAAAAAATGTTCTAGTGTTCTGTTTTCTGATACTATGACATATATTAGTGCATTTTGAAGGAATGAACACTTCTTAGAAACCGTTTTGTTGATTCTACCTTTATTTTAACTTACACAAAATCAGCTTATAATGGCAGTGAATACAAAAGACAAAGAAACACTATTGCACTCAGAAAATACTTCATATGAAGCATTGCACATGGGAGAATTGATTAGGAAAGGTACACATTTATAGTCAGATAAGACTTGACTATTCCAGGTTTGAAGAATACAGACTTTTTCCCGATAGAAATTTACCACATCACATATTGCACATTTTCCAACACTTTCATCTGCTTCACAAATATCCGTTATAGTCTTTGCGTTTGTCTGTGTCTCTGTAAAATGCTACATGTAAGATTTTTAAGACAATGAAGTATGTACCATTGGAAAAGATGAGTTACGTAGAACTAAAAAAAAAAAAACAAGAACGAAAACCAACAAACCATATAAATACATGATTAGCCCACTCTTTTGCCAGGAAAATGACAAAGTAAGTTGACAAACTTCTCTATAAAGAGAAAAATATTATGAAGCTTAGTTTCATAAGCATTTGTCCACTTAGAAATGTTCTCTGATTTTTTTTTTTTTTTTCAAAAAACCCATTTAGACTAAATGTTTGCACTACCGGTTAACATTTCTTGTGCTGACATTTGGTTTTTAACACCACCAGTTAACATCTTCAAATAGTGCAAATATGAGGAGCACACTCAGTTTCGGCAGTCATTCAACAATAAATAATAACTCTAAGCCTAGTTATTTTACTATTTCTGAATTTTAAAATATAAAGTGCTTCCATAAGGCTTAAAGTCATTCTCATTTTTGCGCATAATGAATGATCAGGCAACCTGTGCCTTTTTCAGCTCATGGCTGGATAACCTGTAATTTCTTTTCCTTTTTTCCATAGTCTCATTTGGAAGAAGGTTTCCAAAATAAAACGAAGGGTTGTTTTTTTTTTCCCCCAAAGTCTTTATGGAAAATTTCTGACCATAAAGCAGCATCCATCAACACAAATTTCCTCGAGTTCCAAGTCACCATGGTCAAGAAGCAAATATGTTTCCTCATTATTTGAAGGGCTTACTACATATCCAGTATAAATTCTTTTCACATTCTGTGCTGATGACCCCTGAGCTATTCAGAAATGCACAGTTCTCAGATCCCATAAGGTTGAACCTGGCAAACAATAAAGAAAGTCAGCATTATTTTCAGTTCATTATTTCCATTCAGTTACAGGAGAATGAACTTTGTGAGGGTGGTCTGTGATTTTTTTTTTTTTTTTTTCGCTTGGTAGGACCTCATGAAGCATGTCAGCTGGTCAAGTTGACCGTAAACTAACTTGTAAAGACAGTAGATCGGGACTGGAAGGAAGACGATGTGGAGGGTAGAAACAGAGCAGAGAGTAAGAGTTCCATTCCTTCGGTTGGCATACCACCAGAGGAGTGATTCTTGGTTGTTTCTGAGTTAGGTTTATGGCCCCTAAAGCCCATCTGCATGTATAGTCCTGTAGGACACATATTAAGAATTCCTTTTCTAGAGACTTAAATTTATTCTCCATATCAGTAATTATCATAAAACTATTTAGATAGCTAGAGATTTTTTCAATTCTGAGTTTTCAGATGAAAAGATTAACATTAAACATATAAAATGTTCTTTAAACTTTAAAATGTACATTAATTACAGGTAGTAAAATTAGGCAATATCTTTCATTCTGAGGCAAGTTTTCTCTTAGGTCCACAGAGGCTTCTAATTCATGATTAGAAATATTGTTCTTTACCTCTGTGGTGATGAGAATTGGGAGAGGGTAAAAGGGAATTATTTTCTAAAGAAAAAAGAAAAAAGAAAAACTCCAGCTTATCAGGACAATATATATACGAGATTGGAAATGTTGGATTTTTTTTCTTTTTGTAGCATTGTAATTATTTCTGGAAAATTTCTGAGTCTGTTACCCACACTGACATTTGCTGAGATAAACATACTAGAAGCATTTATTGTATGATTTCCAAGTAGATAAAAAGACAAAAATGGCAATATTAAAACCGTTCTTTGAAGAATTTGAAACAGTGTAAGCGTACAAAACAGACTGGTAAAGCTCTGCTCACAAAGGGCACAACCTTTGTATACAACAGTGATTTGGAAGGAAAATGGCTTCCCTGAGCTGCCATTCTGGGGAGGATGAAGAGACATCTTAAAACTTACCTGTTATTGAATACTTTGCCATCTGACCATTTCCATGTCCGGCCATCTTCATTTTTCAGCCCAATCCAATGTTCGGCTCTACCCACATATCGTTTTAAAAAGATCTTGAAGAAAGCACAAAGAAGGCATATGTTAAACAACCCCTCTGGTAAGTATGTAATAAATTCCATTTCTCAAAAGCTGTAATTCAAGGCATGATGGCTAAGCTGCTCACTTATTAGCTCTGTTTGGGACCAGCTCGTTTGAACTTTTGGCCATTGAAGCTAAATAATCGAATCAAATTTACAAGGTTAAACGGAACCCTGATTATGACCTCAGACTGATCTCATGCTTTTCTGTAACTAAATTTCCCTACAAGGGAGATAGGTACAATGTCTTCAAAGAAATCACAGATTATCTCTATCGAAAAATAGCAAATATTTAGGAAATTGTTTTTGAATCTTACCATGTCCTCTTCAGAATCAACGAAGGCAAGAGTAGCCCTGTGTTCAGAGCAAAAGTTTTGTGCTGACTTCCAGTCCTTTGTTACAGTGGAAATAAAGTAGCATTTCCTCCGGTATGCAAGCCAATCATCTGAGCATGAAGAAACAGGGCTATTTGATGGCACTGGGTGTGCCATCACACCCAGTGAACATTGTCCTGGACAGTTGTATTGGCCAACTGTGAACAGGAAAATGGTTTGTTTTAGTAATAAAAGAAACTAGCTGACAATGACAAGGATGAGAGGCAAGAAGTGAATTCTGAGAAGAGCAAGAAGGCAGGTTCTCACTTTATCTAATTTCCTGTTGTGCCTAACTACCACTGTCAGGATGCAAGAAATAAGAGGGTGTCCCTTGGGCCATAATCTCCGAAAGGGGTGGAAAATAGAAAAATCCTGCCAGTAGTCTTTGGACTAAAAAGGGTAAAGGGCATTATAAATTCCAATGCAGCCAACGAAACACTAAATTGGGAGATGGAGAGAATAATTTGTAGGGAAATAATTCAGAATACAGAAAGAACTATGGCTGGGGACGTTTCATAAAATTGTAAGATTTCATGTTTGTAAAAGGCAAATATGTCTTGGTATTGCTATGTTTTGAATACCGTATCCCAATTAATTCTTTGGGAGCTTCTAGATATATATATATATACATGTATATATATATATACATGTATATATATATATATATGTATGTATTTATGTATATATTTATATTTATATTTATTAGTATTTATATTTATTAGTATTTATATTATATTATATTTATATTATATATATTATATTTATATTTATTAGTATTATATACTAATATAGTATATATAGTAATATAGTAATATATTATATTATATATATATATAGTATATATATATAGTATATATAGTAATATAGTAATATATTATATTATATATATTATATTTATATTTATTAGTATTTATAATTATTAGTATAATATAATTTATATTATATTATATTTATATTATATATATTATATTTATATTTATTAGTATTTATATTATTAGTATTTATATATATATGTATGTATGTATATATATCTAGATATATATATATATATACATGTATATATATATATATATATGTATGTATTTAATTATGCATAAGCACCCTTCTGTGGCCCTTGAGATAAAAAACAAAAGACTGGTCAATTCCTGATTAATCTATGGCTTAGATATTATTTTTTTCTATCAAAAATGAATGTGAAGCCCACATTTTCCCCCTAAGTAAATGTCTATTTAGTTAGACTCTAAATCAGTCCCTTTCACCTCAGATTTAAAAATCCGCTCAAGTGTAATCTTCTCCCACAATAATTTTTAACTTCTTTTTTTTCCTTCCCTTCCCCCATCCCACAATAATTTTTAAGTCACAGACACCTTTAATACTTCTAAAGACGTTCTAGGCAACTGAGAAAGCGTTGCATTGATTATCTAAAGAATATGGAATTATATTTGGGATGTTCAAAGAAATCAGCCATGTATAAAAAATGGGGGTGATTCTAAAAAAGAGAGAGAGACCATTTCTAGATTCCAAAGTATGAGAGTCCCCCCTCTTTTTTTTCCTTCATGTGAGACCATATCCTCCTCTGTGAGGGTTCTGGGGCTAGAGTTGGGCATGTTACACATTTCACTTTCTGTACAATGGCAGCTAACAATTCCTGACCCTCCCCTTGCCTAAAGGCTTTACTGTTAAGAAAAACCAAAGGCTTTTAGATTAAGTTCCATGCAAAAGCAAACAAATAAAACAAAAATGATGCTTTTGAAAAAAAATGGGGGTGATTCTAAATTAATCAGAATTTCAGATTAATTAGTGCCAGTAATCCCTGTTGATTTCAGCTGGACAGGAATGCTAACTAACAGCAGAATGAATTCATGAAGTACAGACCCACCTGATAAAGCGATGAGAGCAATGATTAAACAAGTGATAAAGACCACATTCAATACAGCACATGGGATAGGAACTTGAAGGGACCCTTCATGCTGTGTTGCAAACTGAGGGCTGGCGGTGGTACCTGCAGGGAGAAAGTTCATGATGAATTCAGGTCAACTGTAGAAGTAAGAAAGGGACATTTGATATTCTCCTGAGGCATTTGCATTTCAATACCTCCTTATCTTCTTAGATGGAATTTATAAGTTAATTTCCCCCCAATTTTGAGTGACTTTGGACAGTTTATTTTTGGCTAGAAATGAACTGATCCAGGGATAATGATGAGATCATAAAATATCTGCCTAATATGTGCACTTAGTAGCTACAAAAATTCTAAGTTTATGATAATTTTATTGTTTGAATCACAAGAACATTTATTAAATATCTGATTACCCTAGGAGACATATAAAAAGGACATCCTAAGCATAATCTCTTAACCTCTCTGTAGTTCCTGTTTAAGAAAGTTGACTTAAATGCAATAAATATGGATGATGAATAAAAAATATTGAATTGATATATAAATATCTACAACCACCATGACTGAAAATTAAAAAAAAAAAAAGACTGGTGGTACTTTTTGGTGAAGTCAGTACATACGTGAAGCAATGGAAATTTTCATATATTACTGATGGGGGAGTAAAATGAAAAGATAATTTGGAAAACTGTTTTTCATACAGTGAAATATATACCTATCCTCTGATTCAGAATTTGACTTGTACAAAACAAGAATGCTCATAGCAGCTTTATCCTTAACAGCCAAATCTTAGAAAGAATCCACATATCCATCAACAGGAATATGGATAAACAAGGTATGGCATATCTGAATTCTACTCAGCAGAAAAAAAAAAACCACAAAAACAAAAAAAAAACCCCACAAAAACAAACAAACAAAAAACCTCATCAATGCAACAAAATGCATTGGTCTCAAAAAATGTCAAGTGAAAAAAATGCAGCTACAACTATATGCTATAGATTTCCATTTATATGACATTCAAGGCTATAAACTATAGGTTTCCGTTTATATGACACTCAAGGATAGCTGAACGAAGTCAGACCAAGAAAGACAAACACCATATGATTTCACTTAGAGGTGGAGTCTAAAAAACAAAGCAAGTGAAGGAACAAATAGCAGAATCGGACCCATAAATACAGAGAACCAAATGAAGATTGCCAGAGGGGAGGAGGATGGGGGTAGGGGCAAAATGGGTGAGGGAGAGTGGGAGATACAGGCTTCCAGCGATGGAATGGATAATTCACGGGAATGAAAGGCACAGCATAGGAAATATAATCCGTGGTAGTGTAAGAAAGAGCATGGTGTGACAGAGAGTCCTACATTATGGTGAGCATAGCAGAACATAAAGGGGTGTGGAATTACTATGTTGTACACCTGAAAATAATGTAACATTATGTGTTACCTATACTCAAAAAAAAAAAAAAGTTGAATTAAACTATGGTAACAGAAATCAGAAAAGTAATTGCTTTTATGTGTGTAGGAAAAGTAATGTGGCTGGAAAGAAACACAGGGGAACTTTCTAGGGTGAAATTTCAAATCTTGATTGGAGTTGTTATGGAACTCATTAAATGGCATACTTTTGATTTGTGCATCTGTGGCATGTAAATTATGCCCCAATTAAAATGATATTTGAGGGGCGCCTGGGTGGCGCAGTCGGTTAAGCGTCCGACTTCAGCCAGGTCACGATCTCGCGGTCCGGGAGTTCGAGCCCCGCGTCGGGCTCTGGGCTGATGGCTCGGAGCCTGGAGCCTGTTTCCGATTCTGTGTCTCCCTCTCTCTCTGCCCCTCCCCCGTTCATGCTCTGTCTCTCTCTGTCCCCAAAAAAATAAATAAATAAATAAATAAGTTGAAAAAAAATAAAAATAAAATGATATTTGAGTGAAGAGCAAAATATTTGAATTTTTCAAGAGAAGTTAGTAGAGGAAACATAATATTATACAGCAAATGTTAGGTAGAAGTTGATTTTTTTCATGTACCTTCTGTATAAGGCTGAAACGAAGCAAAAATTTGATTTGATTTCACCAATAAGAAATAATTTTGTGGAATATGAACATGATGTGAATGATGATTCTTAGTTTTAAAAAAAACTATAAGAATATCTGCTTTAGACTATAAATAAGTAATCAAGAACGGAGAGAAGAAGATTTTGTGACCAGTGATTGAATTTGATTTTTGCTAGGATGACCCCTCAGGGTTTCTAAAATTTGGCCTCACAAGAGATACATAGCTCCCTATTAGGTTCTCAAAAACTCGGGGCGCCTGGGTGGCGCAGTCGGTTAAGCATCCGACTTCAGCCAGGTCACGATCTCGCGGTCCATGAGTTCGAGCCCCGCGTCGGGCTCTGGGCTGATGGCTCAGAGCCTGGAGCCTGTTTCCGATTCTGTGTCTCCCTCTCTCTCTGCCCCTCGCCCGTTCATGCTCTGTCTCTCTCTGTCCCCAAAATAAATAAAAACGTGGAAAAAAAAGTTAAAAAAAAAATAATAAAAAAAAAAAAACACTGAAACGTAAAATGGCCACTTGAATGATACTAGAAATTACCATACAAAATAGCATCGAATGCAAACATATCATGTTTTTCTATATGCTACGATTTCCATAATTAAAAGCATACTAAAAGAGGACATATCTTGAGATTCTTGTATTTCTTTTCCTAAAAAACATTTCTCCGAAGTGAAACTGAGCACAGAGGTGTGTTTTCTTTCATTGTTCACTGGTTATCAACATCAGCTTTTGCTTCTGGGGATTGTTCTTTCCCTGCATAGGTCTGCATTGGGGTTTTGCAAGAGAAGCTTTTACTTCACTCTTCTCTAGCTCTATTTCTCTCAGCTTCTCAAAGCAAATCTTCCTTTTTTTTTTTTTTTTTTTTTTAACCAGCATGCAACTATCACCGGAAGCAGCCCTTGGCAGATAGGGTAGCAAGTTCAGAAGTGTCTGTCTAGTTTCACTTCTCCCCGTGTGAGAGTCAATCATGCTGTTTAGACTCAATGCAGCAAGAGTTGTGGTTCCTCAGCAAACACTAACTCATCCGTGTAGCTCCCGGACTCAGAGCCAGCCTAGCTCAGTCTATTGGCTTATCCACAGGCCAACGGTGGAGGTGATTCTCAGACTGTATGTTTCTCCATTAGTGAGGGCTATTGTTACTCACTGTTTGATTCATCACCTAGGCAACAAAACACTCCCCTTACAGGATACTTCCGCTCTGATTATGGGCCCTGTTCATTAACGAAGAAGTTGAAGCTAAATCCACAATTAAATACCAAGTCATCCAAAGGTGATGCCCAACGATGGCTTATAGTAATAAAGCAACCACAAGGGCACCATAAACTAAACACTCAATAGAAAATTGGAGAACTCGGGAAAAGTTGCGGATTCCTGAATTAGGTCCTTCGTTGTTCAACTATGATCTCTACTTACTGGGTGATTTTATTATTATGTACGTTATTTCTTTTCAGCAGCTCAGCTGGGCCATAACATTATGGTTACCTAGCTACCCGGAATCTTTGCGGCTTGCACTTCTTATGCACACTCGAGCGCGTGTACTTAGTGAAAGATGGGTTTATCAGAAGCGATTGGTGTCTTCCTCACATAAACCAGTCTAGCAGACACAGGCTCAGAAAACAATCCCAGTCTCCAGACCGTTCAGCTTTGCTGTTCATGTTATAACGCACCCCTTTATTACCAGGTAACTTTGCTTAAAAGTAAGTGTGGGGGGCACCTCATTAATTGGAGAGGAAGAAGGCTAAATTAAAAAAAAAAAAGACAAACAAGCCTCACAGAAACACATTATAAGAAAAAAAAAATGGGAACATTCTGGTAACAGGAAAGAGAAGAAAAGTCTGTGGACAGAATAGGCAAAGAGAGGAGGGGGAAAAGTAAATAGCTAAGATAATCACATTTTGATGTATCTAGATGAAAGACAGAAGAAAGGAAGAACCATGTGTGACTCATGTCGAATCTGAGGCCAGTGATTAGAGGGTGAAGCAGAATGATGAAATAGAGGAAGGGTTCTATGAAGGGTGCAGAAGCAGAAGATTGCCCTTTCAAGAACTTTTCGTGACCTTCTCCTAAGAAACTACCACCGGGCCCGGTACATGCGTCCGTCTATCCTCTCAAAGGTTGGAAACCTTCATTGCCAACAACTGGAGGATGTTGTCACGAGAATACAACGAAGCAAACAGAAAGCCTACAAAGACACAGGTGAAGACAACGGAGAATGTAAGTGTTCATGTGGAAGGCCAAGAAAAGTTTTGTAAAGAGAGGCTGTGCTTCCTGAAGTGTCTACAGATGGATATGGAAGAAGGATGGGGAATGCACTGGGCCAGTGAGCTTTCCAGGTAAATCTGAAGAACTGGTAACGGCGTACATTGAAACAAAGGAACAGATCTTTAAAGGCCTTCTGAAATCCAACGTCGTGGTCTCCTCTCATGTTTCAGGTAGATAGAGAAATAATTACTTGTTCCCATATTGTCCTTTTCCTGGACTGAAGCAAAATGTAACCAAGTTTTTCTAAAGACAAAGGCTCATTTTTTAAAGTGCTGTAATACATAAGCTAGCTAGACAGATGATAGATGATTGATAGATAGATAGATAGATGATAGATAGATGATAGATAGATAGACAGATAGATGTATGTGTGTGTGAGGGACAGAGAGGGAAAAGGAGTTTTGTTACAAGGATATAACAAATAAGGTCTGACTTACTTTGTTGTTCTCTCTCCGGATGCAAGGAGCTGTTCTCTGTTATGGAACAATCTTCAGAATTCATCTTTGCTCTAGTCAAGATTCCCTGGCTAATCCCAGGCCAAGCCAACTACAGCAAAAGTCTTCGCCAGACCTCTTGTCCTGTCTCTGAGTCTGTGAGGTATCTCAGCGTTTATATTCAGTTATATTGTCTCCACCCCCTTCCTCTTGCCACCTATAACCGCTCGACTACATCAGTTCTCTTTAATTTATGCTCCAGCGGCCCAGACAATTCACACCGTGTTGTGGTGGTGAGCTGCGGGTTTTCCCTGCTGTCTGAAATGTGCTTTCTCACAACTGTAGGTGTAGCATGAAGCGACAAGCAGGATTTTTCCGGCATCTGAGACATCCTTCTTTAAGTTTGTAAAAAACACAGATAGTTTAGGAGACGGTGTATTTAAGTAAAGAGCGAACGGTTAAGGCTTCTTATCTTTGAGGTGGAAATAATTTGGCGAGTAATATTTCCCCTAGATTCTGATTCATTTAGCTAATGAACAACTAATATTTATTGAGCATGCACTCTGCCCCTGACACTGATTGGGGCTAGAGGGGTCATTGTGAAGTAAGAATTTTAAGATCTCTGTCCTCATGAATCTCTCTCCACTCTGGAAGAATTTTACTTAGGAAGCTATAAATCGGCTGTCAGAAGGGTATCATTCACGTCTTCCCTAGGGACTAGTTCTTCTACGTTACCATTTCGTACACGCTTGCTTTTAATTCAAGAAATAGAAACCTTGTGGTCTGGAACTTCCGATAGTCTAAAATTGTTTGTCTTAAATTACCTGTTTCATTTACCTCCTGTTAAGTTTTTGCCACATTTTACTGTCATCTAGATTGTCCTTATTCCCCCTAGTATCTTATTCTTCTCTAATTTTCTCCTCTGTTACATGATTATTTTTCACGTATTTCTGAGGTGTCAGACATCTGGAGTATGATTGTCATAAATTTTATGTATTTTATTTTTGAGAAGGAGAGAGAAAGCACGAGGGAGGGAGGGGCAGAGAGAGAGAGAGAGAGGGAAAGAGAGAGAATCTCAAGCAGGCTCTGTGCTGTCATCATGGACCCCGTGGTCCCCGAGATTATGACCTGAGCTGAAATCAAGAGTCAGAGGCTTAACCGATTGAGCTGCCCAGGCTCCCCGAGGAGTATGATTATTATAAAAAATATATCGCCATGGCATCTAATACCATCTAAGCTATTAAGATCGACACAAAATGATGCCAGAATGTCTGTGCGTGGTGACTTAAAGAGGGGATCAGAATATCACTCTTGTTACCAACCTTGCTGCCACAATTTTTGTCATTAGTACCTCTTCTTTAAAGACAATCTGGTCTCAAAAGAAAGGCTTCATGAAAGTATTATGCTTAGATGGGTTGGAATTCTCATCGACTGTGGCTGAGTTAGGCCATTGTATTTATTTGTTAACCTAAGACATTAAGAGTTACGCGTTGGTCTTAAGGGTTCTCTTTGCTTCCACTCTCGGTCCGTTTCCTGGTGTGTTTTCCACACGACAGCAAGAAGCGTTGTTTAAAATTAAGTCCTATCACTTTGTTGAGATGTTCATCTCCTCCCCACTCCTACCCGCAAAGCCTTCTTATCAAAATCACCATAAAAATCCAAAGACCTTCTTATAGTTGAGAAGGTCTCTGATCTAGCCCTTGGCTACCTCTCCTGCCATTTTCCCTATTAGTCACTGTCCTCTCCAACTGTAACCTCTGCTATACCACAAAAATGTCAAGCATACTCCCACTTCAGAATTTGTGCATTTTCTCTGAAAGGTTCTTCTTCCATCTGCTTGCATGTGTCTCTCTTCCTTTAACTCATTTCATTTATTATTCAACTGTGATCTGCCCAGAAAGGTCTTCAATGTGCTTTCTATATGTGAAATAGAACCTCACGCTCTGTGCCGCCGTATACCTTTATCTTTCTTTCTATCACGTGGTGACAGCTGACATTGTATCATTGTTTATCATCTACTTTCCTTTCTAGACTAAGTAAGCTGCTTGGGGGCAATAACTTTTTCTGGCTTACCCCCTCTGTGGCTCTAACACCTGACATGACAACTGGAACCTAGTATGTGCTTAGTACACAGAGTTGTTGAGTGCATGAATAAATAAATATGAACTAATGAAAGAATATGTATAAAAGCCATAAAAGTTCCACGGGCGCCTGAGTGGCTCAGTCGATAGAGCGTCCGACGCCAGCTCAGGTCACAATCCCACGGTTTGTGAGTTCCAGCCCCATATCGGGCTCGCTTGAGCTCTCTTTCTCTCAAAAGTAGAATAAACATTAAAGAAATGCAAAAGTTCCAGAATACAGAGTGCCACTCAGGGAGGTGTGGGGGGTTGTAGACCGCCACTGGGTAGCAAGGACACCCTTGAATATTACAGATGAGGGATGGAGGAGGCAAGTTGGGTATTTAAGGGAAACATCTGCTGCATTCACTAATTTCTTTGTGTTAAAACAACTTAGATCCTCTGTTTATTCTCCTAAAGTTGGGAGACCTGGGTTAATGTCCACACCTTGGCACTGACTATACACATTGTATCATGAAGAATGTATGGGGTCGAGGCAGTATAGGGAAAGCAAGAGGGACTTAATTCCTGTGAAACTCCTGGTCTGGGCCAAGGGTTGAAAGTTTCCATACTCTTAGAGACAAATACCTACTTCTGGGAATGCAAACAAATGAGAGATAACAGCTGTTAGGGAGTAATGGTAGTCTGGGCAAAATTAGACATAACAATTTAAAACCTGCTTGCACCAGGATTTCTGTTTTTCGGGAGCCCTGAAAGGAGGTGGACCATGGAGAAAGTCAGCCTGTGATTGTCTCATGTCCGTTGAAAGGTAAAGACCACAAGATAATGACGGTAGGACTGAAGGATGCTTCCGCACTCCCAGCGCCTCACTCTTTGGAAGAGTACCTCTCTCTTTAAGCCTTGCACGCTGCCCCTTCGGGGAGCAGCATTCCTCTTTCTTGTTGGCTCCCTTGTATGCAAGCTATCTCTGATAAACTCCAGCTGTTTTCTTTCTCTTAAGTTCAGTGTTCGTATCTATGACGTTCTTACTCAAGAACCTGGTCTTGGGGCTCGGGTGACGGGATAATATAACAGTTATAAATCTACAACAGTATTCGAACCCTTCCAAGTCTGTGGGGTATGATGGGCGGGGGGGGGGAGAAAGCAAATATTCTTACACACACTAATAATCCTTGCCATGTGTGTTTCCCACCTACAAAGCGATTTCTAGCAGTTCGTTGGGCAACCACAGAAATCCTGGTCCCCTTTTACCACTTACTAACGTGCCTTTTCCCCTCTGATGACTCCCACGTAAGTGTGAAAATCAATTTTCTTAGTGGAACGCCGTTTTTGAAATTTGAATATTCCAGAAAAGTTAGGTTGGTTAGCATTATTTTAAAAAAAGTACAGATTTTACAGTCAAATAATCATCTCCCGCGATTTTCTCTCCTACTCCCTATAGGTCAGTTATGGTGACCTTCTTTGTGTTCCTTGAGAAGAGCTAAACTTACTTTGGTTTTATGGAGTGTGTTCTTGCCCTTGTTCTCTCAGATTTTCCATGGTTAACACTTTCTTCTTGTTTATGTTACCTCACATGTCACCTTCTCAGCAAGACCTTCCCCAACCCCTTGTAGAGTTTACCTTCCATTGGCCACAATATTACCTCACTCTCTTCTTTTATAAAATCTTTTCTCAGGGGTGCCTGGGTGGCTCAGTCAGTTAAGTGTAAGACTTCAGTTCAGGTCATGATCTCACGGTTCATGAGTTTGAGAGCCCCACATCAGGCTCTGTGTTGACAGCTCGGAGTCTGGAGCCTGCTTGGGATTCTGTGTCTCTCTCTGTCTCTCTGTCCTTCCCCCACTCAAGCTCTGGCTCTCTCAAAAATAACTAAAAACAGTTAAAAAGAAGAAGAATGGTATAAAATATATTCTCATCTGAAATTTTGTAGTTCATTATATATATATATATACATATAACAAATACACATATAAATGAATAAATAAATAATGTAAATATATATATCTAGTTTTGAAAATTCACTGTTATTATTCATTTCCCTTTTTAGAAAATAGCATCTTTAAGAGCAGGGGCATGGTTGACTTTTTCAACAATGAATCTCTAGTATAAAACGGCACCTAGAACATAGAAAGAGTTCAAAATACTTATTGGGCAGACGCACGACAGAATGTGTGCGAATTATCGGCTCAAGCATTTGCTAACTGCACGGCTTTGGGAAAGCGCACAACTCCACTGAGCTTTGGCTTTGTTATCTGTAGATTTAAAGTACTAACATCCAACTTACACGGTTTGGCGAGGAAAGAAAATTATAAACTAAAAACATCAGTGTTCTCGTATGGGGTTTGGGATATATTAGGCACTGAATGATGTATGAAGGAATCACTTTGATAGAAGTCCTAAAAGGGGAGAGTTTTTCATTTGCGGCAAGAGACAAAGCTGAGAAGTCGCAGCATTCTTGCTGATGGGATGCAACGTGGCTCTTGTCTGTCTAGGATACAGACAGGAAGCTGCCTTCTCTTACTTCCATCTCAGAAAGCGCTCATAATATGGAGATGCTTGCCTGTGTGCTCGAGGTTTCTTGCTTCTTCAGCTGTAGTCAAGTGAATGGATGCTATATGTGTACATTTAGATACGCTTACATTTATAAACACATGCATATATATATGTGACATCTACTATAGATGTTATATTTATGTAACGCATCTATAAATAGGCCATTGGACAGAGAAAAGAAATGATAACCAGAGATCTCATTTTCAGAAAATAAATATCTGGGGGCACCTGGGTGGCTCAGTTGGTTACAAATAAATAAATAACTAAACTTAAGAAGGAAGAAAAAGATCATCTGTAAACCTTATAACCATGATCAAGACCTGTGTTATTTCTTTTCTGGAGTCATTTCGCCTCTGTCTTTATGGGAGCAGCCCAAGTATTCTGTTGAATTCAGCACTTAGTATATAGGTGACAGCAGACGGCCTCTGCAAACATGAAAACCAGTCAGATTACTGAGAATGGATGTCATCAGTGGGCCTTCTAGGTTATTTACTGGACCTCCTGCTAGGCAAGTCCTTTATAATAACCTGAACTTCACTACAAAATTAATATTGTCCCATTAATCCTCCTCTGCTTCCACAGTCCTTGTTTTTTGAGTGTAAGAAATCTCCCTTGGATTTGAGGAAGCAATCAACCTAAATGTATGCAAA